TTTTAAGAAAGAAGACAGAGATCCTGTGGGTTGAATAATCAGTTTCTAATTGCATTATTTCTTTCTTTTTAGGGGAGGGAGAACATCATCTGTAGATTATCCAGAATTATTAAATGGCCTATAAAACAAGAACTATTAACCTTTCTTTTTCCTGCTGCTAGATATTTGGTTTAACATGGTTCATTATTATGGCTGGATTAATGTTTAACATGGCCTGGTTATAACTCCATTTCAGGTATAAATGTCCCATCTCTTAAAAATACAGCCAAGACTATGAAGCTGATGGAGTAAGATGGTGTTCAAATTTAGATAAGCTGATTTAATAGATAATTAGAAATGCCAATGAATACATTTTAAGAGTTTAACTGCTTTTTATTTGGAGAGCTTAATAGAATATGTAGACAAAGGACATGGCCAACTCCAAAAATGCAACGGTTTGTAATTGGATTATCAAGTGTTTATAAAGAATAAATATAAAGAAAAGCTGATCTTACTTTTAACGGCAAGTTTTCGCACAAGTCTTTGTTCTTTACTTCTCCCATTCTGGACCTTCAAATATAAGGAATAAGGTCACACTCCCTGGTAGTTTTTCAGAGGCACACTATATTACACATCTTTAAATATCTCAATAGGAAACTTACCCAGGGAAAAAAATCACCTTTACAGTTAAATTATCTAAAGAAGAATAGCAAGAAATGTTAACTCCATAAATTCCATATTATATTGCCAAGGAACAAGGCAACTCTTTTTAAAAGAAAAAATACGGGCCGGCCCGGTGGCGCACTGGAGAGTGCGCTGCTTGGGAGAGCAGCAGTGCTCCCGCCGAGGGTTCGGATCCCATGTGGAAACCGGTTCCCGCTCACTGGCTGAGCGCAGTGCGGACGCAACACCGAGGGTTGCGATCCCATTGCCGGTCCCCGGTACGGGCGCGACACCGAGGGTTGCGATCCTGTTACCGGTCAGTAAAAAAGACAAAAAGGAGAAAAAAAAAAAAAAGGAAAAAATACCATGTAAGTGTAAATATGCTAAACTAGCATATTAGAATGTTTCAAAACAGCTCAATAAAACCAGATGTTACAGTATAGTATAGTTGTTGCTACAGTGTCAAGTTAGAATAAACCGTTAGAACATGAGATTAACATTCAACCTGTTCCTTTAACACAGGGGCAAAGTACAGTATGGTTAAGAGTGGAAGATCTAGGTCAGATAAACCTGATTCTGCTGTTTACTAGATAAGTAACTTTGAGCAAGTTATTTAACCTCTCTGTTTCTTCATCTGCAAAATGAGGATAATAATAGTACCTACCTTATAGATTTTTTTGTAACGATTAAATATACACAAAGCACTCAGCACAGTGCCAAGCACACAGAAGTACTTAATACATGCCCACTTATTGCTTTTATATAATTGCCTAGCTACACATAAGCCACAAATGGGCCTGAATCTTGATAATTCAGAGTGCTTGATTATCAAACACTCTTGATAAACCACTTCTGAGGGCTAGAGTGGGATTAATCAGAGAATGAAAGATTGAACAGACCCTTTCTCTTCTCAGATGACCAGGTCCTGTGTATGGTACACATACCACATATTGTCAAACATCTGATATGCTCAGCTTTCAAATGAGCTCTCGTGGGAAGCTATGCTAGCCAAAAGAGAGAAGTACACTATCCGTTAAACCGTATCTGTCACTAAGTCTGTGTCTCTAAATTAAAGAAAAACACGTAAGTTGCTTTTTTCACCAACAATCAGTGACTTAGCCAGAGGCTGCTCATATTAGATAAGATAGTGGTCCCCTATGTGGCTGTGTATTCACTTTTACATACTATTAAAGAAAAAAAAAAATCAAATCAAAGCTAGATTTTAAAAGCATTATATTGCAGAGTCATACAACTTTTTTATTCTGCAATATCTTGGTATCTTATGTCACTTAATGCCACTGTAACTTCTGAAGCACTTTTGAAGCCTTGTATGAGTTAACATCTAAGTACTCAGCTCCTACATTTTTGAAGAAAGTCACCAAATTCATACACCATAGTGCCTGCTTACCAAATGAATGAATGATCAGGGTCACATATTAAATACAGCAAATTTAAGGAGAAATCGATACATAAAGCATATAGCTTCCCAATAGACTACAAAGGCAATGAGTATGCCTACCTTTATTTACAAAATATAAACAATAGAAAAAATATGACAGGTTTTTAACTAAGAATGACAGTATAGTTTACAGTAAACAGACAATAGCAGAGAAAGCTCAGAAAATCTGGATTTGAATCCTAAATCTGCTTTGTCTCATGAGTTGGTATCATGAGACTCAGAAGGACAAAAGAAAGCACATTCTATTCCTAAAAAAAATGAAAGATATATCTAAGCTATGGATGTCTAGTACATGGTTTATTAGATACATCGTGGTGTAGTAGAAGGAGCAAGGGCTGCGCCCTGTTCTGCCAGTAGTTAGAAGGGGAAAATCACTTAATGTGTTTTAGGCCTAAGTCTCCTGACTTTGCTCAATGAAGGGGTTGGACAGTATAATCCCTAACATTCATTTTAGCGTTTCAATTCTACTGCTCATTGGTATCTCTTACAGCTCATATTGTCCATGAAACTATTTATATTCTTTTGAAAGCGTTTATAATTTAACCATAGAATTGCACTCCAGTCTAAATCCTCACTACAAATTCCACATACCTTTATACAGGGATGAGGACAATATTACACCAAGATTTAACTTTTGAAGATAAAAGATTAACCAAAGAACAAGATGAGTACAAGGACAAATACAACATGATACCTTGTACTACCTCCTACTAATACAACCACCACAAGTGACTATGTGTTATTTATGTTCATAAGCCTCCCCTCCCAAAAAAATCTTTTGTTCATCCATCAGTAAAGAAAACTTCTGCTGAAATCATTAAAATAAGCTCAGTAAAAAGCAAATGCACAGAGGGGTAAGTACAAGGATATTTATTTTACAACATTGCGGTAACAAAATATTGGAAACAATCTAAATGCATATCAACAATTATCACATTACAATACATCTAGAAAATGGAGCCATGTATGATCATTCAAAATAATAATTAAACAGGAAGTTCCATATGAATCATGTGGGCAAATTTCCAATAATGTCCAGAGCACAACAATGGGCATAGTGTGCTACCATTTGTACAAAATCTAAACAATGAAATATTATATGTTCACGTACTATCTCTATAAGGTAACAGAAGAAATGTCAATAACAGCTGCCTCTGGAGAAAGGAACTGGTAGTCAATATTATAGGGGTAACAAGAAAATATATTTTTAATACATGTTGAATTTTTTGTCAAGAGGTATGTCCTATCTATTTTTATTTAAGAAGTTACATTTTCAAAGGAACAATGAAAAAATGTCCCAACTATATATACAGATATACATGCAAACATACACAGAAAAGAAACTAGAGGAAATACACCAAAATATTATCAGCTGTTGTCTTTAGGTAGTGGGATATGGGTGACATATTTTTTAAAAAAAGACATTTCTATCACAATTTTTTCAGATATTAAATAATATATGTGCAGTGAGAATATGTATATTTTTCTCAAAGCTCTGAAACTTTTTCATGCTGGTATTCCACATGGTTGCTCCAGACTCACCCTTAAGTTATATGAAGGATCCTTGAGACTCAAGTTTGGGAGAGAGGCTTGGAGAGCATTCACGTAACTTGTTCCTGAGCCTTGAAGTATAAAAGCAGAAGAGTGGTACTGAGTTAAGATTTATAAATTATTATGAAATGAATTTTCAACAGTGGCTCAGCCCAAGGTCAATCACTGTCTTTCAAAATACCTTAAACTTTCCAGCCGCCTTATTGAACTCAGAGTATCATATCAGAAGACCCTTCCACCAAAAGTCACATAGAACGAATTAAAAATGCTACTCCTGTTCTTGATCTTTTATCAGTCATCTAGAGTGTGTGACAGCAGAAGAGTGCTCTATCAATCAGTGGGCCTCAGCCATGCCCTTTAGGCTGTGACTCTATGGTGGCAGTGAACTGTTAACAGGGCCCAAGCTGAGGCTGAGGTTAAAAGACGATGGGGGATGGGTGGTGCGAGAGAGAAAGCCAGTGTGAGTCTGGTCCCCTTTATGAAGGCAGAAATTGGAGGTGCCCTTTTCCATGAGGAGGTTTTGTGAAGCTTGGGACACACATAGGGCAGCTATGGGACTCCAGTGACAACAACCAGAGTTGGATGATGGCTGTCAGGCCAAATACTGGAGCAACTGGTAGGGTTCCACATACTCTCAAAAGCCCTGAATGTAACAACCCTGCCAGTCCGTGCAGAAAGTGTGGGTACAGACTCTTTCTTAAAGGACAGAAGGGTAAGAATTGCTTGATGGCATTTTGCAGAGGGCTGAGACTCTGTGGTCACGAATATGGGGTGATGGAGTCAACAGATATAAAGGATATGATCTCTAGCGCAGGCTAGAGGGGGCTACGGACATTCAGGTTCCATTCCGTCTACCTATCCAACAAATTAATCGTTACCAATCATACCTACTGTGCACAGGGTACTTGCTTTAGACCACTGAGAGGCCAAAGTTCTTACCAGATTGCTTGTATTTCTGGATTTTTGTCTTTAGGTCTATTCTGTGAATGTTCTTCAGGCATTTTTCTAATAAATCCAATTGATCTGGAGCAATCAGATTTAGTTTCTCCAATTCAATCACAAGATCCAAGAAACTCTAAAAGAACCACCACCAAGAAACAAATGTCAGTAGAGCTGAGTAATAAGCCACAAATGCAAACCCCAGGCCATGTGATTTATAACAGCAAGAAAATGTGACAAGACAAGCCCTTTCAGTGACCTTCGGTGATCCTAAATTAGACACCTGTCAGGAACAAATTACGCTCCTGAATTTTACTCATCAAAGAGGTGATAGTAAGTCTTTTGGTCATCAAATTGTTCATAGGTTGGGGATAGACACATGGTCATTTTGTATCATCAGGAAGCACTGTGAAAGAGCAGGCCTACAATTAAAACGCTCCTGAGTTAATTCTCTTCTGAAAGGCCAGGCTGGTGTTATACTGAAAAACTCTAAGCGCTTCCCTGAAAAAAGGAGAGAGAGAAAGTAGCTGGAAGAAAGGCTTTATGAGAAAAATCCCAATGATACAGTTTTAAAGTTCCTAAAAAATTTCCATCAATGCTGGACAATGCGACTCATTCTTACTCAGAGGATTATGGATAGGTAAAATGAAAAGGTTTGGGTATTTTGCTATTCATTTTCATTGGGCCACAGGGATTGTGAAAGAACTATATTTCAGAAACAGGCACTGCTTTTATTTCCTCCATGTTTACATTTGGTTACTGAACTGCTATCTTTGTTTTTAAAAATAACAATCCTAATTAAATATATGTAAATGACTAGGAGAGAAGATGCTTAGGTAAAACCAAAAAAGAGTTCTATTTTTTGTTTTCTTTCTCATTTTCAGTTTGATGATAGGAGCGTAAGTCACCCCATATTCCCAGATTTCAGATATGAAACCACAATCATTAAGCAGCATGAAATTCTCAAGCAATGACTTCTGAGAGTTCTTTGAGGCAGCCAATCACCCTGAGGACCTATTGTCATAGACTAGAGACCCAAACTCTTCTTGGCCTGTGCTTAGATCAGCAGTACCATGGAGGGCCAACTGGAATTTAAATACTCTTCCAGCAATCACAACATCCTTGAGATCTTCGTTCTACCTGGTTTTCAACCCCAAATCTCTACTTTTGCCATTTCCCACATATGTCAGTCACAAGGACCGTCCTCCACACACAGCCTAAAGACCCCACTCTGACCTTGAGCTAGCTGAGGAGAAACAGACAAAAGTAAGAGACCAAGATGAGAGTGGACTAGCATGTCCCACCTGTTTCCACTCAGTACAAGCAGATGGGACTTCCTGACCCTCCCACACAATCTGACAAACCAGGGGAGAAACTGATATATATGTCAGGCCTATGAAGTTTACAAAAATAAGGATAAAATCCAAGGATAAAAGAAACACCCATGGCCACACCGGAAGATATTATCACCTTATATCTTCTCAATTCATAAGCCAATTCTCTTTCCCTTCCATGTTATTACAAAAAAACCCACCTCAGATGTCTGACTCCCACTAATATGGCAGCAGACTGCCTGCTTCCCTCTCTACATCCTGTAAGGAGCAGCCCCCAACTTCTGATAGGCTCTTGGGAACATGAACTCACCTTATCCTTGGCTATCTTGCCTCGGCCTGTGTAATCCCTCATGAGGAAAATTAATGAAGACACGTCAGATTCATCCAAATCCTCGCCAATCTCTGTCATCAGCACTCTGTAAACCAGACAAGTTTCAGATACCAGTCCTAATGAGAACTCCAAGAACCCATGCCTGCCCTATGCCAATAATAGGTTAAAAGACTAGTTCTTGCTCCCATGTGCATGTGTCCCCTCCATAAAACAGAAAGCCTAGATCACCCCAGGAAGACATCTTAAGGGGACTCAAAAAGGAAACTCATTCTTTCCTCTGTTTTCAGTACGAGACGTTACCTCTCTTTCCAACTAACAGCTCTGAAAACAACTTAGAGAATGAAACTTCCCTAAAGAATCCCCTAGATCCCCCAGAAGTTACAGTGAAATGAGTTAAGAACCTAAATGACTAACATGAAACACAAAAATAGAATTCAAAGTGGCTTTGTCTTCTCTGTTTCACAAGTTCCCAGGTGATATTGATCCAGGGACCATACTTTGAGCTGCAAGATTCTAAAGGAAAGAAATACCTGTGATATCCTGGCCCACTTCTGAACTCAAAGGGTACAGGTATCTGGATCATAGGGTTTCTGACCTTAGATGTCTTTGTCCTGACTCACTCACCTCTGCTTCAGCTGGATCTACCATCACACTTTATCGGGGCTCCTAGGACACCTTGTGGCTATCATTATTACCATGATGTTGTCATCACTACTTAGAAGTCTATTTTCCCAGCTAGATCCTCAGATTCTTTTGTTTTTTGTTTTGTTTTGTTTTGTTTTGTTTTTTGGCAGCAGGCTGGTACAGGGATCTGAACCCTTGACCTTGGTGTTACAACACCACACTCTAACCAACTGAGCTAACCAGCCAGATCAACTCTCAGATTCTTGAGAGTTCATTTTGCCCTAAAGCTTATCAAAACAGCTGGCACATGCCCACTGAAGAGGTATATAAATGAATCTAGCACTCCTCTTCAACTGCCAAGCTTCTCTTCCCAGAGGGCCTGAAGGACGATCTCCACTCACCATAGAAAGGAAATGGGAAATGGAGAGAGGACCCTAACCTACTCACTGAAACCCAGTCAGTGCCTCCCAAAAAGTCTGAAGATGACTGACCTTTTATGGTGGTTGGATAGGTGGAAGATGACCAAGTTGTTATCAACAATGATACTAATCCCTTACATCTGTAGCATGCTTCACAGATAGTAAATGATCACAACTGATGCTGTGAAGTTGGGTATTATTATTTGCTTTACAAGTAGGAAAACAAAGGCCCAGCCAATGTTAGTGACTGGCTCAGCCTACATGGCCCATAACTGGTAGGTCTGAGGCTTGAAACAGGCCTTCCAGCCTCAAGTCTCACACACTTTCCAAAGTCCACACTGCTTTCAGCTCTGTCTAGTATAGTTTTTTGGTAATATGCGTCATCTCCAAATATACGAGAGTACTTTAAAAAGTTCATGAAAAAATAGGTTTAAGGGGCTGGCGATTAGCTCACTTGGTTAGAGTGTGGTACTGACAACACCCAAGGTCAAGGGTTCAGATCCCCATACCGGTCAGCTGCTGCCAAAAAACAAAACAAACAAACAAAAAAAAGAATTAAAAGATAATACGAATCTTTCCATGAACTTTTCTTGTGTGTGTGGCTGGCTAGTAAGGGGATCTGAACCCTTGACCTTGGTGTTATCCACACCATACTCTGAGTGAGCTAACAGGCCAGCTCAACCATGAACTTTCTGAAGTACCCTCATACATTATCGATATAACAAAAGGCTGATGGTCTGGAGAAAAAGGAAACACCAATTTAAGGTTATAAGTTCTCTTCCTTTCCCCAGAAAACCAGCATTTCCAGTGGCTTCTGTGCCCCTTTGAGCCATCAAGATAGCGTCATATGAACAGGAGAACTGAACGACTCAAAGGCTCTCTGAACTAAAAGGAACTCCAGTGGCCCTCTCTTAACTGACAGGGCCTGCAGGTAATTAATTGAAGAGATGTTCAATTTGGGCTTCCCAGAGCCTCTGAGGGCAGGGACCACAGGAAGGGAGTCTGCCCTGCGAAGTTTCCGCAGCAGGGGAAAGACCGACAGGGATTCGGAAGGGATCACGGAGTTCTACAAAGGCAGGAAGATTATTGTCATACTTGTTATTTCCTTTCTCAGTACCCGAAATTTCCAAAGACTGATAACAGCGAGAAACCAACTCTGACAGAAGCTGGCAAAAATTACTAACTCGTAGTCGTTCCTGTCTTTCTTCATTTCTTGTCATTCTGTCCTTCAGGCAAACACATACCAATCTGTCCTTTTCACTTTCATTATGATCTTCTACCCAATTCTTTTAAGCAAGCACATTTTATGAATTCAAAGGCTTCAAAGGAATGAAGTGGGATCAGTGGACAGAGAAAGTAATATGGCTGCTCTTCTTACCATCCTGTTTCTATTGCTCAGCAGAGTCTATACCATCTCACTCCCTCCCACCAGTTCAGCCTTGAGAAGAGCTGATGAATTACCTATAGTCCGAAACAAGGTGAGGGTGCCTGAGCAGGTGGGCCTCTACTGCTGTTTTGTCCATCTTCAAGATCCGCTTGAGCAGGTCAAACCGCCTCACTCTGTAGAGCAGCTCAGCCAAGGCCACAGCAGACAGCTTACCTCTCTCATTCAAAACATCCAGAAGGTCCCTGACATTAGGTGGAACCACGTCTGCAGCAACATCCCGGCAAAGAAAAAGAAGCATCTCCTTCTCATCTTTGTCAAGTGCCTCTTCAACCTCATGGATAACCTCAGCAGACATCATGCACAGTGTCCTTCCAAGGAACTGTTGTAATAAAGCTCCAGTCCAGTTAACAGAAAGCCATGAAGCTGTCAAATTCATTTCTGAAGGCTTTCTTCATTTCCTTCAGAATCCTTTCCAATGGAGGAGTTCTGTAGTTAAAAGGGATTTTTTAAAAAGTTCTCTTATCAAGATAACTTACACCTAAGATTCAAAGTATAGACTCTTCTTTTCTTGCTGGTCTGCCTAACCTAGTAGATTAAATTCCTATTGTTAAGTCTACACAAAGTGAAAAATCAAGACTAACCCCAAAACCAAAAGAGACAGAGTAGAAAACCTACATTTGAAAGGAAGTGAAACTAGAGACAAAATTATTTCCCAAAAAATCCCACATGCTTTATCAGAATGTAAAGCATGGTAAGGGGAAAATCACAACTAGGGAATTAATGACTCAACTACAGTGAACGACCTCAGTGAAACAAAGGGGAAAAGCCCAATGACTAGGCATGCTGACTAGACTAGAGAAACTTGTCAAAGGGGTTAACATCCACTTGCAGGGACCTCACCCAGCTGGGCTCGAACAAATGTGGGGTCTTGGCAAAACAGACCCTCTCTGCAGGGTATCATAAACAATGGAAAAAAGAGGTTTCTGTCTCTACTCCATCCCTTTTTTCCAGTATTGTAAGTTGAGGCATGTTACAATAAAAACACATAAATAGAAAATTTTTTTATTAAAAAAAGGGGAAAAATTATGTTAGAAGATAGAAATGGGGTAGAGAGATAGAGAATTTAATGCAAATATGCAGGCCAGAAGGGCCTAAACAGATTTCAGAAGCTTGTTCCTGAGCTTCCTGGCCATCAAAGCAAAAAGGGATACATAGGAAGTTAAACAGTTCTTGCTATCCAAGAGAAGAAAAGCAAAACAGATTCTTAGAGGAAGCACAGTTTTCCTAGAGTTCCAGAGTTCCCCATCACAGGAAATATTAATGAGTTCTCTAGTGTCTGAAAGTACTCAAATTACATTTAAAGTTACTAAACACTTCACTGAAGTAATAAAGTTACATTTATTTTAAATTTTATTTCATTTTTTGGCAGCTGGCCAGTACAGGGCTCGAACCGATGACCTTCATGTTCTAAGGCTGTGCTCTAACCAACTGAGCTAACTGGACAGCCCCTTTTTTAAATTTTAAATATTTTATTTTAAAATAGATCATTCATTCATACCTTTTACATTGTCCTTCCACAATCTAAATGGGTGATGAGCTCTTACTAAAAACAGACCTTTTTCTCTGATGTATACTTGCTAATAAGTATTGGTGTGGCTATGCCAATCCCATGCCCATTCGTCCGATGGGCCATAAAAATCATATACATTGTATATTGACAAAATAAAAATTTTAAAAAAAAAAAAGAACCTCTGCACAATGCACTGCACTTTACAGCATGTATCACAGCTTGTAATTATTTTTGTTTGTGATGATATGATTATTAAATTAATCAAGCACCACAAAAAAAAAAAAATCATAGAAAATAGAATTAAAAGATAATAGGAATCCTTCCAGAATTTTTTGAGGACTCCTCATGAATATATATACACACACATACATACATATATATGTATGCACATACACATATACAGTAAAAATATTAAAACATGCATAGTAATAGTAAATACTAAATTCAGAACAGTGTTTTTCATTAAGGGATGAAGGAAATGTGACTAGATAAGTATGCAGAGGGGAAATGACCAAATTTATATTTTATTTCATAAGCTGGGTGACACACATGCAAATACTAAAATAAATATATCTCATACCACATTCTCTGACTACAGTACAATAAAATTACAAAACAATGATAGGTCAAAAGGAAACCTTACAGGTTTGGAAACTGAAAATGAATTTCTATCTCCTATGCACTCAGCCTATACCAGTTCAGATAACTAGTACTGTATAAAAGAAATACAGGCATGAAAAAAAAAAAAAAAACCCACTACATGCAAAACTATCTCATAGCATAGTATTTTAAATGCTTTTAGAGCTTCCTTGGTATATATGTAGACAAACTTTAGAACAAGAAAGCCTAAATAAAGGCTGCCCAAAGTTATCCTCAAAAAGAACAGGTCAGATTTTAGAGTTCTTTAGAGTCCTGTGAAAGGACCTGTGCCCATCAGTGACCAACCCCACCTGTCTGAACAGCCTGGCTTGGCACTCCACTCACCTGCTCTGAAGAATCACTTCTCTTCACCTCACTCAGGTGAGGAGCAAAAGGGCCTTCCAGGCCCAATTCTTTTTCTTCCCTGCTTTCAAGTACCTAATCTCCCTGACTGATCAATATTCCATTAGTATCATTTCACCCTTCTGTTTTAAGCTATTTACCTTCCTTACCCAGACAAAACTGACATCAGCGTGTTTTCTAGAATGTTGAAGGACTTCCCCTTAACTCTCCTCACAGGAGAGTTAACTCTCCTCACAGGTATATTCTAATTTAATGACTACATCTCCCCTTCTTTTCCACACCCTCACAAAATCTCCACTGTGGTACAAACTGTCCCTGACTTTGACAAACACAGCAACTAAAACCTAAGACCAGTTCCAGTTTCATTTCTTTGGTAGAAGTCACAAAACCATTGTCAATGATTCTTTTTAAATGCCAATCAAAGCTTATATTAAGCTTTGTCACCAGAGTTAGTTTCCACAACACTGGCTAACAGAAAAAGCAGAAGGTTCTAGCAGAACACTCCAGGCATTTTTGGTACAGTTAATTCTGGTACAGTTGGCTCTGCACATCTGCGGGTTCAAGCATCTGAGTATTCAACAACCGCAAATCGAAAATATTCAAGGAAAAAAACAACAAAAACAATCCAACAATAAAAATTTTAAAACAATACAATATAACAACTATTTGCACAGGATTTACATTACATTAGGTATTAAAAATACTTATAGATGATTTAAAGTATATGAGAGGATGTGTGTAGATTACATGCAAATACTACACCACTTTTATCAGGGACTTGGGTGTCCACGGATTTTCTATCCTCCAGGGTCCTGGAACCAATCCCCCATGGATACCAAGGGATGACTGTACTTACACAAGTGCTGGAAGGGCTGACAGAAGGGGCTCTAGGCTGGGCTACTAGCAAAGACTCCTAGGCTCCCAGAATGACCTGGCCTGAACCAGGGCAGTGGAGAATTGGTAGGCCACCACTAAGAGTACTGAGCTCAAAGAATATCCTGTCATAGTAGAGACCCAGAGATCAGAAGGCGGCCCTACCACCTGAAAAGCAGGTAACTGGACATTGTAACGCTGTCCCCCAAACCCCACATCACCACCACCATGCTTGCCAGCCAAAAAACTAAGAAAAGCAGCAAAGTATTGGCCTCCACCCACTTCTGTTTGCAAATCTGGCCTGAATGCATCTAACTGGCAGAATTTAATTCACATCCTAGCTGTAAGAGTCTAGGAAATGCAGTTTGTAGTATTCCACCCTCTAGACAGAGATGAGAATGAGTTCTGAGCACCAACTGACCTTGGCCACCACAGGATATTCCATGAGAGCATTTATTTCTTCTTTGTGGTTAAATCCTCTGTACAGACTCCAGTACCTAACTCATAGTTAGCACTCACTCAGTATTTTTTGAATGAATGAATGGAATTTCACAAGATACTACCAGGTAATGCTTCACTTATTTTTCTCTCCAGACCAAACCCAGAACATATGCTACAACATCTGGCCGGCACCCTCAATTCTCTCGCCTTTTTGACCACTAGCCCAATGATATCTTGAGTAATCAACTGGTCTTGGTTTGCCCAGGACTTTCTAGCTTTAGCATCAAGCTCCTGCATCCCAGGAAACCCCTCAGTCCCAGACAAACCAGGATAGTGGGTCACCCCAGGACCCCAGCCTTGGACAGGGAGCCTCCCCTATTCATATACCTTGAGTAGCAAGTAGTTCTGAAGGGAGGGAGAAAAGATCACACACATGCAAAGTGACACCACCACACCCTTGTTTCCACCCTCTGCTGGGATTCTCCTGCTGCTCAGCTCCTTCTCCACACCCTTCAGGGAGAGCTCCACCCTTCACTGCTTTCTTCCATCCTGACACCATCCACTGGTGTCATTTCTCATCAGATGACACTGCCATCTATCAGACGTGAGCTCCTGCAACCTTCCACCTTTCTTCTGCCCCAGCTGGCACCTCCTGTCCCTCAGCTTGCCCGGAGCCAACCCCTCCCTATGTGCCCTCCTGTCTCCACTGAGCCCCTGCTGTTTCATCAGCCTCCCTCTATCCCAGGGACCGCTCCCTTCAGCTCGTAAACATGTTCAAGTGTCTTCTACCTTAACAAATAAATAAAACAAAAGTCCCTTAAGCCTGATGTCCCCTCGACCAGGCATCCTTTCATTTTATTTCCTTTCACATGAAGCTGGGACTTTGTAAAGGAACAGCGTGCACTCAGGGCTTCAAGTTCTTTGACTTCAATTCACTCCTCAACATGCCTCCACCAGATCCCTCCACACCACCACCTTCTCCAACACAGTGACCTCAGTGCCAAGCCAGACTGGAATCTGAAGTCAAAGGAAAAATCGGTAATACCAATGCTGTCCTTATTTAAACTTTGGTATTTTGTTCACTATAGATTTTTGGCAGTTATGTCGACTTTTTAAAATATTGTGTCAAATACTATTTACCTTGAGTACTGAGTTTTTGAGCACCCCCTTAAATGTTGTGAGGCAAGCGCCTCCCCTGCCTCACCCTGGTATCCCTACCCAGATGATACTGCTCTTGTCCAGGGCTCGGTGACCTTTGAGAGGGCATTTAGAAGTCCTCTTTCATCTGACCACTCTACCCCACTTGATGCTGCTAATTAATCCCTCCTTGAAATTCTTCTCCCTTGGTTGACCTTACACTGTATTCTACCCAGTCCCTCTCTTACCTTTGCCCTCCCCCCTCAGCAACTGCTCCTTAAATTCCGGTGTTCCCTAGCATCCTTCTTTCACCCAGACTTGTCCCCCTGGCCTTTCTGTGCCACCTGCCTCTGACCTCACCCTCTTCAAATCTCACTCCTATTGGAATAAACCTTCTGAAGTTCAAGCCTGAACTAAGTCACTTTCCTAATTCCAGCCTTTCAGTGGTTCCTCATCTCCCTGC